TGAAGTTATTTTGGCGTGTAATCCGTAGATCTAGTGACATAGAGGCCACGCGCCTATTTAGGAGTCATAAGTAACCACGGTTGACGGCCACTGTGTGTGTTACAGTAGTGACCAAGCTGGCTTTGTTATGTTGCGTGTAAACGCTTTCAAACGCTCTACAGGTACATTCAGAGGTAAAGCATGCAGCAAAGGAAGCTTCGCTGGAGCTCCCTTGCGTGCGCGCGTGGGGCTGGCTCGTACTAACAGCCGCAGCGGGGTGCGCTGCAACCCCGGTCCTGGCTGCCTTCTCCCCGCAACACCCAGGCCCTGAGCTCAACGCCGAGTATGCCCAGGGACAGGGGAAGGAGGTCCGCTGCTTTTGGGAAAATCTTGCTTTAAGTCTTTATCTACATTGCAGCTCGCCTCTGTCCTAGGTAAAGGCCAGAGAACAGGAGTTACACTAAGCCGTTACTACGATCAAACTCGAGTTCGCGCACCTTGTAGGTATGTAATGGTGTGATCGGGAAACTCAGCGAGGAAGGCTAACCACCTTGTTGTACGTCCACGTAGGGGTTTGGAGGCCTTGAGCTGTTGTACACGGGTGAGAGCTTGATGGTCCGTGTAGGCCGCAGCCTTCGCAACCCTCAACAGGTGCGACCACTTGGCTAGTGCGGTGATCAGAACCAAAAGCTCTTGATCATAGATCGAATATTTCTGCTGAGCGGAATTCATGGCTTGACTGAGGAAGCCGATCAGCTTGCCGGCTTGCTCCAGCACTGTTCCTATAGCATATAGTGAAGCATCTGTGTACAGTGCAAATGGCTGAGAGGTGTCAGGGACCTGTAGGGCAGTATAATCAATGAGACGCTGCTTAAGCTTTCGTGCCGCCCTCAACAGTCCGAGGACTAATAAAACTCTCTGAAGCCCCTGTATCTAAGAGCCCCTCAGACTGACGCCCAGCCAAGTCCACTCGTAGGACTGCCGTANCTCTGAAGCCCCTGTATCTAAGAGCCCCTCAGACTGACGCCCAGCCAAGTCCACTCGTAGGACTGCCGTAGATCCCAAACAACACAATACACCCTCTATAGTAGGAACCCCTCTGACACAGACTTCCCGGCACCACACCGATTCCACATCATATCTCCCTTGCGCATAGCCCTCTTTTGGCGCCACTTCACCTTCACTGCAGTTATTGCCAAGAGTACACCCTGTTTCGTCTCGTAGCTCCTCAGCGGATTTCGGGTCACGCGGCTTCAATAACGACGGTTGAAGCTTCTCTGTCACCGTAGGCCCTGTGAGAAACTCTCCTTCAGAAAGGCCAGTCTAGGGGGAGTTTGGGGCGTTAGGGATCATAGGGCCCTCGGAACATGATCCCACTCAGGTCAGTAGGTGCACCAGTCGGGAGTTGCATCTAGATGGGCTGCCGCCTAGGACAGGCCATGTAATCTCCGTAGCAGACCAACACGTTTGCTCCGCTGCGCGCTATAATACTGGACCAGATTTTGGGCGTTGTATGATGATTTCAAATATTTTGACTCCATTGCAGCTAGCGGCGTCTCTCGGAAAGGATCGATTTCTCTCATTATAGCACCTGCCAAGTGGGCCTGCCGTGCCCTGCAGACTTGTAGTGCAGTTCTTATACGTTAGGCAATACATTTATAGCGGCTTATTCTGCATTCCTCCCATGTTAGGGGGTGCAATAGAAGCGACTTTGTTAGCTCTCTGGCCTTAATCAGGGACAGTAGATTGCAATGAAGGTAAAGGCTTGATGTTAAAGTCTCCGCAAAGCATCTGACCTCCTTCCCCTGTACCCAGGCGCCCTGAGCGTTGAGCTCAGGGCCTGGACGTTGCTCGGGGGAGGCAGCCAAAACTGAGTTGCAGCGGACCTCGCTGTGGCTCGTAATGCAAACAAGCGTGCAGGCAAGGGAGTTTCGTTTCGACGCACATTCCTTTACTGAATGATTTACCACTGCATACACTTATGGAGCGTCTGCATTCACTTGGAGGCAACCTACGAAGGCCAAGTGAATGAATGCTCCTGTGTTATGTGTAGGCAGATCACGCTACACAATTAGATGTGAATCGGGGATACTGTTGGGTGCTAAGGCGGCTTAGGATGCATTTCTCTTGCATTCCAGAATAAATGTAAAGCCTCAAAGTGAGAGCATTAGATAAAAAGGTAAAGGTTGAGGGTCTAGGCTCTTGCTTCGGGCTTAGCTGTGAACTACCGCAACACTTCTACGCACATTGCTCAGCACGCACGGGAGCCTCACCGGATTCAGAAAAAAATATAACGCAAGAAAAATTCCCTTGAGAAAAGAGGAGAAC